TATCCCTATTTTAACCCTTCCTGACCAATGCTGTGGTTGTCTCCTGCTGGTCCAGAGGTGAAGCGTGGAGCTTTTTCCGCTGGCTCGGAAGGAGCAAGGGGGCGGCGGTCGCTCGGCTCCCGCGGTCGCGATAGGCCGAGCGGCGCTGAGCTGCGAGGGCCGTCAATACCGCTCGCGGTTTTAATCTGGTCTTGGTATAGATGTTCTGTTGGGTTTAGATCTGAATGCCTACCTCTTTCTAATAAAATTCATATATTTTGATTTAACCAGTTCAACTGTAGTGATGTCTGCATATTAAGGGTTGTTGCCCTGCTGGAAGGTGAACCTCCCCCTCTAACAGGTTGTTATCTAGGACTGCCCTGTATTTAACTCCATCCACCAAACCATAGACTACAATTTCATCTCACTGTTGTCCAATAGCACCATGCTATTGCTTCCATGGTGTATAAACACTTTAGCGTCCCACTGTACTGCCTTTGGGAATAATCTCAATCTCAGTTTAACTCTGTAACTCGCTGCTTTCAGGGGACATGTCTCAAACCACACTGGAAAAACCATTAGCCAATTTGCTTCAAAAGACAGGAATATGGATTTGGAAATTCCTAAATGTGATGAGAACAGCGAGGTAACAAAAACAGGTTATTATTAACATTTGCTGAACAGGAAGAGGAAATGAGGTCACGCAGACCAAGTTTCTGCTGCACAAACACTTCACAGAGCAGACCAATGGGATCGGTCAAAAGGAAGGAAATTTATGACACAGAGGAATCATTAAAGATGATAACACACCAACCGGCTGGTGTTCAAGGCCGATTTCTAACTTTGACTTTCAGAATCCTTTTTTAAAATATCAAATGACAACATCAACTACCATAAGGGGTTTTTAGGGGGAGCTGGTAGCATCCCGTTTCCTGTAAGAGACCAACAGAGAGCCAGCTGTCCCGCAACAGCTGAAAGGACACACCTCCTTCCCCTGAGTCGAGATGTCTAGCAGCTGTGTGGATCCGAGGCTCCTGCAGACCGGCTCTGAAAGGAGTGCCAGGCTGGGTCAGAGAACAGTCAAGTCGGGTCGCTCTGAAGGAGCGGGATGAAAATCAAACCCAAGTGGATTCCAGTGAGACCAGTCTCCACAACCTGAGAGTTCATCTGTAGCTCTTTCAGCAGGTCCAATAATAGATTATTCGCTGAATCTGTAGTCAGCGTCTACTCCCGGAAATATAATCTGAGACAAAACAGCAACACAACGGCGCTGTAGGACGTAGAAATAGACCTGCTATGAAGGGGTCAGAGCTGAGGTCAGCTGAGACCTGGTGCCATCGAGTCTTTGAGAAATATCACATTCCAGAAGCAGATAGAGCGCGTTTACTGTAAGAACGGCTTGAAAAAAAAAAAAAAAAGACAAAAAGAGCTGAAACAATAGAGGTTCTGGACACATTGAATGTCTGTAATCGAGCTCTGGAGGATGACATAAACTTTGCAATTATGTGGAGCGAAGGGTTTAAAAATGGAAAGGGAAAAAAAACAACAAACACTTAGCTTCAACAAGACCAAAGTACAGAACCATAAATGCTACAAGCTTTCTTTTTAAGGGAGTAACAAAAAAAGAAAAAAGATTCCTTTAAAAGAGCAGACTTAAAACAGCCTCTATAAAGATCAGTAAAAAAGGAGCTTACCACACCAGGAGAGGGGAGATAAAACAAGTCCTTCCAGTGTGTGTTAAAACTCGGCCACTACGTCCTCCGACATCAAAAGCATGAAAGACTTCTGCTCTCGTAGTAAACGCCAAGCGAATACGTGATTCATTAAAATCTTTATCTAGCCCATAAAACGCGCCCTCATTTCCTAAATAAACCCCAGCAGTGATTCGGCTCGCAGAGCTCACAGCCTCTTACTCACTAATGTATGAGAGGAAGCTGCTTTGTTTTGGATCTTTGTTATATACGTTGGCTTGTGTGCCAATGTTTTATTTGCAAAATCCCCTTCAAAACCCTTCCACAAAAACAGAAAGTGAAATACCGAGTCTGGCAGGAAGATGAGTGCTGGTTTATTATGTTAAAATTTAGTTAAATATTAAAAATCCTCTGTATAAGTCAGGTTTTCCTTAACCAATTAAGAGTTTTACGTTTATCAGAAGGCTGAAAAAAAAAATTATAATAAACCTAGACTTTTGTAAAAGTTCTAAAAGCAAAAGGAAAAATAAAGAGATTACCACAGTAGCCCCATATATGAATAAATCAAATTTCTCTATTAACTTTTTCTTTAAATTGAAAACAAAATGACGATGCTGTCAGAAATTGAAAATGAATGGGAGTTCTTATTGGACTTTGACGGTAACTAAACATAAGAAAAAGAGAGAAGAGGGAGAGACAAAAAAAGGGTAGTGGACATTTGAACCCTCGATAAAAATATATACGACAATTAGCCGTTTCTGCCTCCAGACTGACCAACCAAAAAGCACTTAAAACTGAGATGATAAAACCAATTTCACCAGCTTCTGCTGTAAGAGAAGTGGACCCTACTTGATAAGAAAACCCAGCATTTTCAGGAAATCAAACCTCAACCAGAATGTGACTTTTCATGTGACCAATACTGTGAATTTCTTTTGTTTGATTATTACAGCAATAAATCAGAGGGGATCTACAGGTAAAAAAAAAAAAAAAAAAAAAAAAAAAAAAACCTAAATGTTGCTCCATTCAGCGTGTGTTAACTTCTTGTTCACCCTGGGGCAGAACCATGTTTAAGAATGCTTTTGTTTCCTGTAGTTGGTTATTCTGCTTCAGGGCCAAACCTAAGACAAAAGAGTGCTATGAAGCAAATGTAAACTACCTGGAGTCACTTCTGGGTGGATTTAAAACAAGCAGTCAACCGTCTGCAACTCTTTTGTGTCCCTATGAACCTCAAAGGTGTGCAACCAATAGGAACACGTCCATACTCAGCCACTATGTACATAAACAGACGCATACACGCCTTTTTCTGGGTTCACTTCGGTTTGCAGCTTGATGAAAACTATGCAGACTGATGTATTTCCCAGGTATGTTATTTTGTTTCTTCCACTTTCCATTCCTACGTCATCTTCCTTCTCACCACGGTGACTTTTAGCTTCTCCGTGGAGTTCACGGTACTTCCCTGATGCGCTGCACATGCTTAGATACACAGTAACATGTGATAAGACCTGCTCAATGATTCACAGATCTGGCTCTCAGACAGAATTGAAAGGCAGCTACAGTTGGCGTTGTGAAAGCACCCAAACACAGGTAGACTCTTCATACAAAGAGAACGGAAGACGAGTCGGCTTCATGACTTTTACTAACACTAAGCTGTCAGGAAACTGTTCTGACTGGATGTACTGATGATCCGCAACAAAAGAACAGTCGTTTTGAAAGATTTGGGCCTGCCCCATTTCCGCATTGTTTTCCCAAAGAAAAAAAAGGTTTTAAAACCTTTTATTCAAACTGTGCTGAAAGAAAAAGGAACATGTAGAGACATGTTCAAAATAGCCCAAGGGTTAAAGCTGAGAAACACAAAAAAAGGGAAATGACCCTTGCATGCATGTGAAATGATGACCAGAAGTAGAAGTGGCAATAACAAGTGGTTCATCTCAAACCAGCATGGAAGGCCCCTTTTCAAGCATTCTCCACGGCCCTGTGTGCGTTTTGTGGTTTCCAATTACCTGCTGAGAGATGGAGGGTGGTGAGCATGTGAAGGACCATATGGCTAATTAGGGTATGCATCCTGTCCACTAAATGCTCCTCAACTTTCTTCATCGGGAGCACAGCTGGCTATTGTTTTGAGGACAGACCAATTTGGTAGAAGACAACTTAGTTGTTAGAGTGGAGGTAAAAATTCATACTGTCAAAACTTTTTCGTTACATTCCAACCGAAAAAATAAAAAAATTCAGTTTTTCTGCACACTTGCAAAATCTGAAAAGTGTGGAGTACTTTTATTTTTAAACTATGTGGATGGAATGGAAGAAAGGATTACGTTTCTTTCCTCTGGCCCAGCAGGGAACTGGAGCGTGGACAGCTTTAGTTTTTACTGCTACAGCCCAGGTTGAGTATTGGTGGGAAACACAACCAACTGGGATCAGATTAGGTGTTAAAGGCCTCACTATGCCCAAATAAGGTCTTTGGAACAGTAAAAACATTTTTTTTGTACATCCATTGTCAGATGACGGATGCAGCTATTAAAGGCCTTTGACACCGACTTAACTCCTCTGCCATCTTTGTAAAGCACCCAAGTATGAAATTGAAGATACCAGCAATGAGAAAGGCAGCTCGAGAAGAAACTAACCCCCCTCGGAAAAGTCTTGGGGTTAGACTTGCTCATAAGCAGCAAGAATGTGGTGGTTCTGTTTGTTATTAACCACCACAACATTCTCTTGCATGCCTCTCATTCATGCACATTAGAGGGGTTACAGTTCTCTAGTGCCCCGAGCCTGGATTTGTTTTAGGAAAATGAAATTAGGATTGCATCTGAGCGGAGCGGTGGTCAGCACAAAGAGGGACACTGAGATAGCCTCAGTGGCCCATAGCCAGGGGAAACAGAAGTGGCATGTCTAGTATTTGACTTGGACGCGGCAAGATGTGGTTTAGATGGGGCCGCAACACCGAGCACATGACGGGGTCTCTGAATGCCTCACTGTTGCTGCTCGTTCTGCACCAGCAACACTGCCGCTGGGGGACACGACGTGCTCTCTAATATAGCTGACCAGTTTTTTTCTTCCCCATTTGGTAGCGATTTGCTCAAATGGGAAAGCCCGGTTCACCAGCAATCCTATGGAAACCTGGGAAGTGTGGACTGCACAGATAAGTGAAAAAGAAAACAAAAAAAAGCAGAGACTAACCCACATGGGTAAAAGTCAGCATAATCTTGCATCTTTGCAAACAGCAACGACATCTGCTACGATCACTATCATGTTTCCTCACCCTCCCTCTGGTAACATGAGCCTCTAATGACTAAACCTAATCTGGAATAAGTCCTTTCAGGTTAAATCGCTTACCTCTGCGGGTCTTTGCCATCATCTGTGTCATGTTCAGTGCTGCTTCCATCTCCCTTCGTTCGGCTGTCCATAGCTGGATCCAGCTCGGAGTGAGCTCTTGGCTCAGAGGGCTCCAGGGCAGTGGGGAGCGGGCTGTCACCGTCCCGCTCCGCCAGAGGGGTGCAGCGCCCCTGGCTTCTCACGCTGCCGATGCTGCCGGTGGTAGGGCGGTGGTGATGGTCTTCAGAGACCCCTCCAGCCTGCCTGGCATCGCTGCACCACTTCATGGCCTGCAGCTGGGAGAGTGGCACTATGTCGGCTCCCTGCGGTCGATGCCAGACCGTGCGGCGCCCTGTTGAGTTGTAGTAGTAGAAGCGGCCACTGTGCGGGTCAAACAGCTCCCACCACTGATTGCCGTCTGCCTGGCGGACAGGAACACCAGGAGGGGGATCCCAGCCGCATTCACCGGTGGTCAAGTTCACATACATGCGCTCCCGGGAGCGTGGCTCCAGTATCTCCACCCAATCAGAGCTGAAGAGAGACAAGAGACAAGGTAAAGAGTTAGCAGCAGGTTAAAACAACTTTCCCCATGGGATACCACTCGCCTTGAGAGCGTGCAATCCAGCCTGAGTACGAATACTTTGGCAGACAGAGAGGTTCAAAAACACACGTGTCCATATGGACGGAGAGCTCATTTCTGTGCTCCCCATATGAACCCATCTGTGCCTTTTCAGTGATGTCATCTCTGAACTGTGGAGATTTGGAGTGATGGAGCGTTACGCACGCTCCCACATACCAAGAGACAGGTGGAAATGTCGATGGGGGGCCGAATATGGAGTCAACAGGGCCTGAGCAGAGCCATACGCTCTGGGTGTACCACACAAACCAAAGAGCTCAACTACAATGAGAGGGCAGCAACCGCCAACTCAGCACAATGCATACAGGACACAAAAGAAACGGCAGGAGGGAGGAGGAGCAGGAAACCAACAGATATGTAGGGAGAGCAGGAGACAGCGATGCAGGGAGAAAAACCCAAACCAGCTTTTCCTTCCACTGTACTTCAGAAAAACTTCAACGGTATGAGTTTGTTCATCAGGTTATAAACGACTAAGTTAAGAAGCTTACAAATATATATTTATTTATTTAAATATATATATATCCTTTAAAAGACCTTTAGAAAAATGTATTTTACAGTTTTGAAGGATTCGACCATATTCAGAGGAAATGATTTGAATTGTTAAAAATAGTCACTGGGAAAATCTGAATTATTGGGGTCAAACTGAAGGAACATGATAAAATGTTGGACCAAAACGTAAAGAACAACTCAGCAAGAGGAACATCTTTACCGGGGTTTTACTGTCTTTGCACGCTGCAAGTAACAAGAACCATTAAGAAAAGTTAGAGCTGCAGCAAGCAAACCATTAAGCGCTAGATACAAGTTTTTAGTGTAGGTGGATTATTCTTACTGCTTTCAGATTTTCACAAACATTGCTTTTTGACTATTCTGATTTCTCTCAAGTTGAGGATTTAAAAGCAGCTTTCAAATAAGACCTCCCATCATGAGCGTCACTTGGTATGTATAACAAAAGCGGAGGCCGCGTCCAACTATGTGTAAAGAGGAATAGGTACCGTTGTGCAGCAGTTAGATTTATAATCCATTTAACAATTAGCATTTCTTTTCACCTAAATTAACAGAAATTATGATGTAGATCATTTTCTTTACTGTAGCTTTCTTTTTTTCCCCTTAGCGGGTTTTTTCAAAAGACAAGTTCACATAATGTTAATGCAAGACTCAAAATGGATGAATATAATGCTTCTGTTTACAGATGTCTAAAACCCTCCAGTTAGATGTTGAAATCAACATGTAGACATCTTATTTATCAAAATAAAATAAAGGGATGCATGTTATCCTATTTGAAGAGCATGAGAACACTGCTAGGCTGTGTATCCAGGTCACTTACTTATACAGGTGCTGGTCATAAAATTAGAATATCATGAAAAAGTAGATTGATTTCAGTAATTCCATTTAAAAAGTGAAACTTGTATATTATATTCATACATTACATACAAACTCATATTTCAGATGTTTATTTTGTTTAATTTTGATGATTACAAATGACAACAAATGAAAATCTCAAATTCATCATATCAGAAAATTAGAATATTGTGAAAAGGTTCAAAATTGATGGCCCCTGGTGCCACACTCTAATCAGCTAATTAACTCAAACCACCTGCAAAAGCCTTTAAATGGTCTTTCAGTCTAGTTCTATAGGCTACACAATCATGGGGAAGACTGCTGACTTGACAGTTGTCCAAAAGACGACCATCGACACCTTGCACAAGGAGGGCAAGACACAAAAGGTCATCGCTAAAGAGGCTGGCTGTTCACAGAGCTCAGTGTCCAAGCACATTAATAGAGAGGCGAAGGGAAGGAAAAGATGTGGTCGAAAAAAGTGTACAAGCAAGAGAGATAACCGCACCCTGGAGAGGATTGTGAAACAAAACCCATTCAAAAATGTGGGGGAGATTCACAAAGAGTGGACTGCAGCTGGAGTGAGTGCTTCAAGAACCACCACACACAGACGTATGAAAGACATGGGTTTCTGCGGTCGCATTCCTTGTGTCAAGCCACTCTTGAACCACAGACAGCGTCAGAAGCGTCTTGCCTGGGCTAAAGAGAAACAGGACTGGACTGCTGGTGAGTGGTCCAAAGTCATGTTCTCTGATGAAAGTAAATTTTGCATTTCCTTTGGAAATCAAGGTCCCAGAGTCTGGAGGAAAAGAAGAGAGGCACTTCATCCACGTTGCTTGAAGTCCAGTGTAAAGTTTCCACAGTCAGTGATGGTTTGGGGTGCCATGTCATCTGCTGGTGTTGGTCCATTGTGTTTTCTGAGGTCCAGGGTCAACGCAGCCACATACCAGGAAGTTTTAGAGCACTTCATGCTTCCTGCAGCTGACCAACTTTTTGGAGATGCAGATTTCATTTTCCAACAGGACTTGGCACCTGCACACAGTGCCAAAGCTACCAGTACCTGGTTGAAGGACCATGGTATCCCTGTTCTTAATTGGCCAGCAAACTCTCCTGACCTTAACCCCATAGAAAATCTATGGGGTATTGTGAAGAAGAAGATGCAATACACCAGACCCAACAATTCAGAAGAGCTAAAAGCCACTATTAGAGCAACCTGGGCTATCATAACACCTGAGCAGTGCCACAGACTGATCGACTCCATGCCACGCCGCATTGCTGCAGTAATACAGGCCAAAGGAGGCCCAACTAAATACTGAGTGCTGTACATGCTCATACTTTTCATGTTCATACTTTTCAGTTGGCCAACATTTCTATAAATCCTTTGTTTTTATTGGTCTTCAGTAATATTCTAATTTTCTGATATGATGAATTTGAGATTTTCATTTGTTGTCATTTGTAATCATCAAAATTAAACAAAATAAACATCTGAAATATATGAGTTTGTATGTAATGTATGAATATAATATACAAGTTTCACTTTTTAAATGGAATTACTGAAATCAATCTACTTTTTCATGATATTCTAATTTTATGACCAGCACCTGTATTAGACTCATTTTCTGTGTCCTTTTTAACTAGTTCACAGTAAAATCCAGCCCAATTCACGTGGGAAAAGCCTCCTACAAGCAGCCATGTCCAAAACACCCAACGTATAATCTGTTCCCTTCTCTCACAATGAACACTTGAAGATCCTTTCTTTTCTTCAGCGTCCCACCCAACTCCAGCTAAATATCTTTGGCAGAAAGAGCCTGTGGGGATGAACTGGTGTCACCGGAATCTGCGGGAGATTTGGACGCTTTCCCAGCCTGCAGCTCGGGGAAGAAAAGCTCCTCTCCTCTCAGTTGCTCTGCTAGTAGACCTGCTGTCCAGACTACCTGGGCTGCTCAGAAGGAGCAAGGAGCTTAGCGTGGATCAGAGCACCTACGCAGTCCATCAATTACACATATGTGCTCCTTGCTCTCATGCCAACTCTCCACTTGTGTGCTCAACTCGGGGTCCGAAATAGACACTGAAGAGCGGTGCCAGTCAGCTCTGCCAGATTCAAGCCGTCACCCTTCTTGGCTGCGGCCCGATGGGAACAACAGCTGTTCTCCATTTTAGAGGTAAAGCCTTAAGTAAAACAGCGGTACCTGTTTATCGGGGTTTAAGAAGTGAGCTTTATTTAATCTGGTGCCAGAAGCAGCCTCAGGCACTTTGATAAAACGCAGGTAAAATGAGCAAACCTTATAGGGACTATAGGGTCTTCCACATACCATTTTACCATGTGGTCCTGTGGTCTCTGCTGAAACGCCATCTGGTCCCCTCATACAGGTGCTGGTCATAAAATTAGAATATCATGAAAAAGTAGATTGATTTCAGTAATTCCATTTAAAAAGTGAAACTTGTATATTATATTCATACATTACATACAAACTCATATATTTCAGATGTTTATTTTGTTTAATTTTGATGATTACAAATGACAACAAATGAAAATCTCAAATTCATCATATCAGGAAATTAGAATATTACTGAAGACCAATAAAAACAAAGGATTTATAGAAATGTTGGCCAACTGAAAAGTATGAACATGAAAAGTATGAGCATGTACAGCACTCAGTATTTAGTTGGGCCTCCTTTGGCCTGTATTACTGCAGCAATGCGGCGTGGCATGGAGTCGATCAGTCTGTGGCACTGCTCAGGTGTTATGATAGCCCAGGTTGCTCTAATAGTGGCTTTTAGCTCTTCTGAATTGTTGGGTCTGGTGTATTGCATCTTCTTCTTCACAATACCCCATAGATTTTCTATGGGGTTAAGGTCAGGAGAGTTTGCTGGCCAATTAAGAACAGGGATACCATGGTCCTTCAACCAGGTACTGGTAGCTTTGGCACTGTGTGCAGGTGCCAAGTCCTGTTGGAAAATGAAATCTGCATCTCCAAAAAGTTGGTCAGCTGCAGGAAGCATGAAGTGCTCTAAAACTTCCTGGTATGTGGCTGCGTTGACCCTGGACCTCAGAAAACACAATGGACCAACACCAGCAGATGACATGGCACCCCAAACCATCACTGACTGTGGAAACTTTACACTAGACTTCAAGCAACGTGGATGAAGTGCCTCTCTTCTTTTCCTCCAGACTCTGGGACCTTGATTTCCAAAGGAAATGCAAAATTTACTTTCATCAGAGAACATGACTTTGGACCACTCACCAGCAGTCCAGTCCTGTTTCTCTTTAGCCCAGGCAAGACGCTTCTGACGCTGTCTGTGGTTCAAGAGTGGCTTGACACAAGGAATGCGACAGCAGAAACCCGTGTCTTTCATACGTCTGTGTGTGGTGGTTCTTGAAGCACTCACTCCAGCTGCAGTCCACTCTTTGTGAATCTCCCCCACATTTTTGAATGGGTTTTGTTTCACAATCCTCTCCAGGGTGCGGTTATCTCTCTTGCTTGTACACTTTTTTCGACCACATCTTTTCCTTCCCTTCGCCTCTCTATTAATGTGCTTGGACACTGAGCTCTGTGAA